CCACAAGTTTCAGCTTATAAAAATAGTCTAAAAACAGTATGAAATCAGCAAGAAATGAGTAGGAAGAAGTGGTGTAAGGATGGTAGAAGTTTTACTTTTTGAAGGGGAGTAACTCCTTTGTTCGCAAACCATAAAGGATTCACTTTCAAGGGTTGAGATTTGAGCTCAAGAACCTCAGCAAGAAGAGCCAATTTTTTTGTTTATGATGTGTAAGGAGAGAGTGAATAGATTGCAAGATAGAGAGGGTGAGTGTACAAGTTTTTGGCCTTTGGTAATTTTTTCTAATTTAAAATCAAGAGGGTTGGCCTTGTATTTATAGAAAAACAGCTTTTTAGATCGGAAATATCTATATAGAGAAAGCTGGTGCAAGGCATGCACATTGGGGGGACAGCTGGCATTAGCTGGCAGCAAAATATTTGCCTTCCGAGACATCTGGCCGGCTGGTCGGCCAAGTAGGGGATGGCCAGTCACAAAAATTTGCTCTCAAGTCTGACTTCAAACAGGCATTTCTTCTTTATCCGGACTCGATTTTAAGTAATTCTTGAGTCTAAATTAAAGCTCCGGAAGTCTAATTTCCAATGGCGGCGGCCTCACATATAAATTATAAGTGTACAAAGAGATATGTCTAATTTAGTGCAGGCTACTTATTTCTTTCTTAATCGATTGATGCCTAACTTCAACCGGCCATATCTCTCTCATTCAGACTTGGTTTTAGCTGATTCTTGAGTCCAAATTGAAGCCCTAAAAGTCTAATTTCTAATGGTGGTGGCTTTACATATAAATTCTAAGGATACAAAGAGATATGCCTAATTTAGTGAAGGTTACTCATTTCTTTCTTAATGGTTTGATGCTCAACCTTTCTCCTAACTAGTTTTCTTCCTACCCCTCCTATTTCCTTCAACTCTAAACCTATAAATAAGATATTTTTAAAGATTTTTTTTAAAGAGTTCATCTCCCTTCCACTTATTTCCACTTTGTTCTTACTCGGTTTACCGAAAAGTGCAATATTTTAAACAAAATGCGAGTTTCGGAATATCGTAGAAATATTTAAAAAAATATTTTGAAAAAAAGAGTTTTAAGATCTAAAATAGTTTGGTCAAAATGGGGTGTAAGGTTAGGATTAGAAACTCGAAAATTGAAGCCTTTTGCTGAAGAACTTGAACAATTGTACAGCGTCACTTTTATCATCGAGTGTCCAACTTGAGACGCCCAGGTCTCAAGGGCGGTAAAAGATAAGGTGTTTTGAAATTGGTATATTCCTATAAAAATAGTATTGCTAATCCTATCTCATGAGACTATAAAAAGATTATGTTGCTCTTATTTTACAAAAATAACAAAATAATTTTTTTTTACATAATTTCATAAATTTGATTCCAATCAGTTAAAAGAAAACAAATATGAACAAACAAACAAAAAGATATAATAAATCTTACACATTTAATCTAATACTATAATATTAATAATCTCAATATTAAAGCTAACCAAAACTATGATTTGAATCAACATAATCCAGATATCAAGCATCAAAAAGATATAATTGTTTCTCTTTGATTATAACCTTTAATGCGTATCAAGTGGCCGACCTCTCTTGATTCATCTTCGTAATGTCGGCTCTGGGGAGCGAGTCGACTCGGTATTCATGGAAGTAGAAACATAAGAAAATAAATAAATATATATATATATATATATAATAAAATAAAAACAAGGGCAAATGATAATAGTGAAAGTAATCCATTGAGCAATATAGAACCCACTACCCACTCAAGTTAGGATTGATTATTACCAAGTCCCGTAACAAAATTTATGTGTTATTTTAAATTAATCAAGTAATAGAATTTTTTTAATGATAAAATATGCTAATCCATCTTTGCTGCGTAATTAAAAGATTATAAAATAACTTAATGCAGAATTTTTTTTTTTAATGTTTTTTTATAATTATGATTGAGATAGGCGCTAACTCACTTTTATTGAGTGATTAAGAAAAGATAACCAACGTAGGTCTTGTTTAACAAAAAAATTGAGACTAAAAAAGTATAAAAGACAAAATAGATTAAATAAGTTAATAAGATAAAATGTCACATTCAAATCATAATTATTTTACTTTTTTTCCCTCAAAAGTCAAAAAAATCAACCTAAGCGAACTTTTTAATCTCAAGCTAAAAAAGTCAAAACTCAAAAAAGCCAACTAAAAGTCTTAACCAAATGACAACTTAAGTCTCGTTTGACACGTGCCTGTCTTAGCCGCCTAAAAGTCAAAAAATTATTAAAAAATCAAAAAGTCTATAACTTATATTAAAAGGTCAAAAATTCTATTTTCTTTTTACTTTTTGCACATCTTTTTATAAAAAATTAAAAATTCATTCCAAACATATTATTATTATTTTTACCTCATATTTTAATAAAAAAATCAAAAAATTACTAAAATAGCTTTTATCCAAACAAGACCTTAATGTATATTACAAATTTTTATTGTAGCAAAACAGAAAAAACAAAACAAAAAAAAAAATTCATAAACAATAACACATAATACCATGAGATATTTAATAATTTTCCCCTAATTATGGGATGTGTGTGTGGAGAGACATTTTGTCGCATTGATACGAGGAAACAGAAGCACTTCATGTCCCCCATGCCCATTGATGATTTAATTCTGTCTTCCACTTCTTCTGCTACCATTCATTGGAACTCAAATTTCATTTCCCTATCGTTTTGCCCATACCACACCTCATTCACTACTCACCCGGCAAATAAATACTAATAAATAATGTTAAAAATAATCAATTCGAATGGTACTTTGTATACAATATAGTAGTAATTGACACAAATATCTGTTACTAAAGGTCTTATTTGAGAACAGATTATTTTAATAATTTTTTATAAAAAGATATATAAAAAAATAAAAAAAATTATGTGATAATTTATAATATTTTTTTAATTTTTTAACTAAAATATATTATTCTCAAACAAAACTTATGTATTACTTTTGAGTTATTCAAGGACACTAAGATCTTGTTTAGTAACTATATATTTTAGTCAAAAAATTAAAAAATTATTATAAATTATTATATTATTATTTTTTATATTTTTACATTAAATTTTTTTTTTTTGTAAAAAATTAATAAATTACGAAAACAATTTATTTACAAGGGAGGCCTGAAGTGATAAAGAGTGAGTGGGCTGGCGTGCCTTTCTATTTATGAGACGGTGTCTCATATTTTTCAATAAGGTGTACACGTAGACAATTATATGTCACAATCAATTCTTTATTGGCCGATTGGTATTTTATATTGACAGGAGTCATGTGGTTTGTCTCATTGGGGTGTTTTGAGAAAATAATAAAAAATTAAATTTTTTATTTTGTCTTTTTGGGGTGTTTTGAGAAAATAATAAAAAATTAAATTTTTTATTTTTTATTTTTATTTTTATTTTATGTGAGAAGTGATATAATTTAAAATGAGTTAAAAGTTAATTTTTGACTTTTTTTTTTTTTTTTTTTTTTTTTTCGTTTAGATTTTTGATGACTCAGGTATCCCCACAGCCGAAGTATGGGACTAATCCTGAGGGCCCTGAAATTAACGACCGGGCAAACCTCCAGTGGCCCGCACAGTAACCCGTGGGGAGTGGGATTCGAACTTGGGACCTCCAGGAGGAGCAAACTCCCAGACCCCAGGTTTTCTTCCCTCACCCATTGGGCCACCCTTGCGGGTTGACTTTTTTCACTTATTGCCAAAACATTCCTTAATAACAATAAAATGTTATTTTTCTTAATAAAGCACTCCTTTGAGAAGTTAGGTTGGATTAGGGAGGATTGAAATTAAAATAGTTAAAAAAATAAAAATAAAATTTTCAACTCTAAACTAAAAAATATTACATTCAAATTATAATTATTTTATCTGTTCTCTCATAAAAGTTAAAAAATAAAAAATTCATCTCAAACGAGACTTTTTGATTTTTAAAAAAAAAAACTTTGAATGTTTTGTATATTTTGTTAGATTCAAATTTTTTGGGATGAGTTGCCTTTTTTGACTATTTTAGTCTGGAACTAAAAAATCTTGTTTGGTATGATCTTTTTGATTTTTTTGACTTTAATGGGAAAAAAAATAAAATAATTATAATCTAAATGTGACATTTTGTCTTATTAATTTTTTAATATATTATGTCTTTTTATGACTATTTTAGCCTAAATGTGATATGTCAAACGAGCAGTTAATAACTTCTTAATTTTTAAACTAAAATATGATGTTGTCAAAAGAGACAGCCAAAAAATAAAAAAAGCAACTCACATTTCAATGAAACAGTCAAAAAAATCAATTCACATCCCAAACAAACTCAAAATGTACACATAATCCGTGTCAACTAAAAAACAAAATTGATAATATTTTGTTCCTTGAAAATGAGAACAAAGACAGACGTGACTCCAAAAATTTAGAAATCATGATCATGGATTAGTCGTATGGGAAATTATCTCACGGAGATGTATATTAATCCAAAGGAGGTACATAATCCACACACATTCTAATCTCATTTCATTGCATTAGTGTCAGTCATTTTTACAAGCAGTTAATCTGGTTCACTACCACACCCAGATCCTAATCCACCAATAATCTTTAAAGCTGTGAATTTAAGACTTTTCACATAACAAATTATCAATTTAACTTCCCTCCCTCCTCGCAGCTCCTTTGCCTTGTGATTTTTTTATTTTATTTTATTTTATTTTATGTGGGTACAAAATCCTTAAGTCATTGGTTTTGTACCAACCCAACAATAATAATTGATAATAATGCATTACCTAACAAAGCCTATAATTAGCGAAATCACAGTATCATTTGGAAAAAGTTTGATCTTAGGTAGACTCTGAAGTTTTGGTCCAATTGCTGCCTCTTTCGATTATAATGATAAAAATATAAAGCGACCAACATAAAATGCAGATTAGCAGATCAAACATACAAGTTTAAAAATGCTCAATCACGCGACGAAGGGACACCAATCCAACCAAAGGAGAAAAGAAGAAAAGGGATCAATCTCAAATTTAATCAATGTGGAGCAGACCAGCTTCCAAATTGGTTTGATAGTGCAGCCTTCCTACTGAAGAAACAATTGCATACTCGCTTACATGTATACAATATAATTATTACAACAATATTTAAGTTGAATAATTTGAACTAAGACATACATGGACACCTAAATACAGGGATTATTATCCTATAAGTTCACACTAAAATTGGCTACAGGCGCAAATTATACATCGACAAATAATGATATATATATATATATATATGTAATGAATGGATGAACGAGTAAATAAAATACAAGAATGTCATCTATCAAAAGTGATGAGCGAAGAGAGCTGTACCGAATGGGTGTTCTGATTCTCTCCCTTCTCCAAAGATATCTGCATGGACAATCCAAAATGGGAAATGCAATCATTTGTACAGCTACTGCTGCCAATTTTCATTTTCACTAAAACAACATTCTCTTGTTGGTGCTTTTTTTAATTTTTTAAGACACTCCTCCTTCCGGTACTTTCAAAGAAAACAAATACATATAAAAAGTAGGGGAAGAAAAAAGAAGAATAGAAACAAAGACCCAATAGCCGTGGACGTGGCCCTAGTTTGGAGTCCACGTAAATTTGTGTTCTTGTGTGCTTGATTAGATTCTTGTTTTTATTCTTATTTGTGTTTCATCTTTCACTGATCTTGGTTAGGTGTAACAATTCCTCACAACGATCTCCTAACATAGGTTATTAAAACAGGGCAACAAGTCACAAGTGCGGAAATACCAAAATACCTTTGCTCCAAATTCGGAGTCAAGTGGTTAGTGTCTAGTACTTATCAGGATCCACACTACCCAACTATCATTTTTCATCAAATAACATGGCCCGTAGCGCTTAACAAGATGGCACGACAAATGTCAAAGTATTTAACATGAGAATAGCTACTTCATTTTTCATGCCTTTTATCCTTTTCCAGGCAGCCACACTGAATTCTGGAAAGTGAAAATCTGCAGTATCATCCTTTATAACTTTTCAAATGAATATAGCCCCCATTCCTTCAATGCACGATAACAAAAATATAGCCAGCAAGACATTTCAAACAATATGAGACCATAAAAGGAAGATCCCATCCTTTAAGACATACCCTCTAGAGTGAATAATTTATGAAGATGTATTAATTTACCAAGAGAAGATCTTCATCAGTTCCAAAGGATTTGCGAGCTTCTTCTAGGCGCTTTGATGTGACCTTCTCATGTTTCCTGCACAATCATCCAAAGTGGAATCTACAATAAACAAAACTAATTGCTCAAGCAAAGATTTGCACAAATTGTAAAACTCAGTGCATTATGGAATGGTGAAGTTTCACAACATAGTGAACTTCTGGTTAAGATGCCTCTTTTAATGAGATTTCGCACAAAGCTTCACGCTTACTAGATTTCTTCAAATGGACCCAAAACATTTCAAATTTAAATGTGCATGCACGTGTAGACACACATCCTGGGGAAGAAAAAGACTAGTTTCCAACCTTTTCACTGTATTTTCTCAAATTAACTAACACACATCAAGAAGCATTCACTAAAGGATTCCACAACTCTTTTACTTAATCAACATGCTTAGGTGTTAATTATCTTCTTATGACCAAAGAAAAAAAAAAAAAAAGAACTAAAAAAAAGAGGCAGCTCTGTTTTTTGTTTTTTCGAATGTTTGTGGATAGTGATGTTTAAAGGAGAGGGAAAACAAGTGATGTACCCAGAGCTCGCTGGATCTCTAATCTCAAACTCATCTGTCAGAGCATCATAGCCACATATTACAACATAGTGACCTACAGAAGATTATAGTCCAGTTAGTAACAGATACAGATGTGGCATGCACAATGAATATACGGGGTTACTGGCCATGAACTCAAATATGAGATAGTATTAGTGGCAGTGAGAGGACTAGAAATAAATAATTTGGAGGAGAAAAAATGAGACAAACACAAGATCATGTTCAACAGTTACTTCATTAAATCAGAAACAGTTAAACCCACACATTCATCTGCCCCTTCTTCTCCTACAACTCCAACTGCTCCAAAATGAGTTATTTGTAGTTCATAAACAATAACGAAGTTCTCGAATTTCAACATTCCACCAACTATATATATATACAAGTCACAATAACAATCTACATCAACTTGGAAATCCAATCAATATGTTGTTCAAAGTGAGCAATTTATTTTGTCAGATTTTTCATCTTGTGTTTGATGAAAAGGAGATGACCCTTCGTCTGATCCAGGGCAAATGGTACAGCAATAAGTGAGAGAATGATACACAGTTCTTTTTGACATACAAAGGTACAATGCCAATTTTCAAGTGCATAAACATGAGAGGTAAAAGCATCAGTACCCACCAGTGTAGCCTGAGCTGCCACTATAGAAGCCAGAAACCCAAGCATCCTCCAGCCAAGACTGACTGCATAAAAAAGGAGTTGAAAACCAAAAAAAAAGAAAAGAGGAGCATCACTTAAATTTCACATAATGGCATCTAAACAAAGATTTCATTATTTTGAAAATAGAATTGAAGCATTTAGCTATAACCCACCCAATACAATAGCATAAACCAAAATGTTTAAAGGTCACCATAGTGCGTTACAATAAATACATGTTAAAGAGAATTGCTTTATGCTACTTCCTTTTCTACCACACAGAAGGAGAGAGAGTTTTCACAACTGAAAGACAGAGTACCTGAGCACAAGGGAAGAATGATATCACAACTATACCTTAATTTATACTGGTCAACTAAAGCAATTGCAATATATTTTCCTGACAAGATCAAGAGAGAGATTTCTTCTCCACTAATTGACCTGCACTGTAAAAACAGGAGGTTCATTTTCTTGCTTAAATAGACTACAAAACTAACACATGGATAAGAACATTTAATTCAGCTATAGGAATTTAACCACCACCAAGATTTGCAGGCTATCAACAAATTAATGTGTTCTCCTCCCTCTTTGCAGGAATGTAGAAGGGAAAAAAGATTAGGCATGATTTAATTGTCAGGAGCAGCCATCAAGATTTGATACATGAAGATTTGATTCATGACACTACAACATAAAGCAGCTTAACAATTGACAAGAATAATCTAATACTTTGACGCAGAAAAGAGAACTTCATAGCTTACAAAGAGAGTTCTATCTCTTTTCCTCTCTCCCTGTGGTGCTCTAAGACAACAAAAAGTTTCTTCAAAAATTAAACTTCTGTTACTTATAAACCCATGTATGGCTCAATAACCATAGTGAGAAAGCTAAATGACCAGCTTGGGGATCATGCACCTGACAAGTCAAGTGGTCAATCATCCATATGGCCTCCCTTAGACATAAATCAGTAGTATTTAACCCTCTTAAGACCTAATAATCATTGCATAAGTAACTACTTCGTGAAGCGGATACAAAAGTAGAGTGGGAGCAAGAGCATTCGTGTTCATACATATATACACATGCACTTTTGTATATGTTATAGTTAATACATAGTGTCAAGCATTTTTTAAAATTTTCATGCTTTAATTGATTGTAATAGTGGCTAATATTTATTGGATTAATATAGGAATGTTATCTGTGTACGCATTTATTAATAGTGACCAAGCAGCTTGATTTATTAACAAAAAAATAAAAAAAAAAATTAGTGACTAAGCAGCTTGGCAGTAAGAGCAATTTATTTTGATGATAGATTTTAATCTCCCAAAAATATTGCCCCTTTTTTTACATTTTTTTGTGCCCATTTTAGTTATTAAAAACAAAAACCAAAATATAGATTTACTCTTATTTATTTGTTTGTTTTGATAAGTAAGACTGATGTAAAACAAATTAAAAAACTAGGGCCCAGGGATGTCTACAACAGGTATTGTGATGGTTTGTGGGTAGGAACAGATTTCTAGGGTTAGGGTTTTTAAGAGATAGAAGAGAATTTCTAGGTTTTTCATATGGAAAAGATGAGTTTTGGTTTGATTTTCATAATTTGCAGGTTGCTGGATAATATTTTGGTCACTGTTTCAATTCTTGTAGAAGACAACTTTACATCTTTTATGCTAAGCTAGATTCTATTGGGGTGTGTGCATCATCTCTCTTACAGAAAGTTTTGCACTTGGCGGCCAATGACAGGTTCAAATAGAGTTCGGTTCAGAATTTGTGGAGAATATGCGAATTAGAGCATGATTGCCCCCTTGATGGCAGGATTATTAGAAATAGAAAGTACTCTATGAATTTCATATGTAAGGCTTGACTTGAAAGTGAACTATCTATTATCAAACAATTAACTTTCAACTCAAGTATAAACCCAAGGGGTTTGCCTGGTGGCAATATGCCTTGTGTCTTGAGGGTGTGCTCCATCCAAGGTTTAGGGATCGAAACAATTCCTTGGGACCATCGAATTGGGAAAAAACTCTTGAATTAACTATGGTGCACTTGTGGAAAACTCTTTGCCAAGGGCCTGTGCACCCCCAAGGATTAGTTGTGTTTTGATCCAGACACCCTGTGCCAATTAAAAAAAAAAACTCTCAACTCAAGTACTTACTTTCATTTCACAATAATTTTTCTTTTGACAAGTAAATTTGTCAAGAAAACAAATACCGTCTACTGATTATATATTAAAGAATAGAGGTTGAGTTTGCTTGCTTCTAGGGACATAGCCATGAATTTCTGTTTTCCCTTTCCTTTGTTTTAAGTGAAAAAGTCAAAATTTTACTTTTTGAATCAAAATAAGTTCATCAAAGATGCTCACAGATTTACCCCACATGCAATATGCCCATTGAGTCAGAGCTACCACTGAGCCTGGAGATAATTTGGGAGAAAAGGAGGGGAGAGGAAAATATTTTACATCTAGAAGCAATAAGGCTATCACAAATATTGAGTGATTTAGAGAAACTATAATTCTAAGATTGTGAAACCAATTTAATTATTGTAACTGCAAAACCTCAAAAGTAGCACTCAACAAAAGAATTAACCAAAGCCACAATTGTAATATAACATCCCTTGTTATTATGATTTTTTTTTTATAAGCAAAGTTCTATAATTACGGCACCACCTGTATACAAAAAGATATAGACAAAAACCCTTTGTTATTATAAAAGCATTATTTAACGGAATCCTACAGACAATCATCTAAGCTCTTCACCCTCAAATGATATTTTTGATAAGCAAAGTTCTTTAACTGCGGCACTAAGGGTTGCACCTTATACAAAATGATATAGACAAAAACCTCCCTTGTTATTATAATAACATTATTTAATGGAATTCCTATAGATAAACATAAAAACTCTCCACCCTCCATCGAATAATAGATTGTACCTGTATATTCATTCCACCTTCCAGTGCTTTTTGAAATAGCATATCTACTCTCACTAGGTCATTAGGCAATTGCTCCTGCAGAACCCAATATCCATGAGTGTTGTAACCATAGGTCACAAGAAGCTAAAAAATACATCAAGCAAAAGAACAACATGCATCACAGCAAAGTCCAAAAGTCCAAATACACTCAGCAAAGGCAACCCTACTCAATAAAAACCTCATTGCCAACTTCTGGACCAGTACAAAAAGTCTGTGCCATTCAGAATTCAGAGTCTTTATTAAACAATATTTTCTTCTTCCTTCTAATTTTCATATTTTATTTCCCTTCAGGATATACTTAACGCAGATTTTCAAACAAATCTAAATCGTACAATTTACTATTCAGCTACTGGTTTGACTGAACATGACAAGATGATTAACATACAACACCGTTGCTGAGAGATGCATGTACCATTACATTATATTCAACATGGAGAATTTGAAAGAAAACAAGCATGTCAAGCACAGTGACAATATATATACATATATTTCAGAATGTCCTCATAAATAGAAACTACCTATTATCATCAGAGGAGGAGGCCACTTCCAAACAGGAGGACACAACATTAGGCACCAAATCAAGCATGCACGAAATCTTCAAAGTTTTCTCAACACCAAAACATATATAATATAACCATATATCTCCCATCATCAGTAATGACCAATATAGACTCGTAATGTGATATAGACTCAACATGATATAAACTAGAATGATGAAACTTGTATATTATTAGGTGAGCACCACTGCCTAAAAACAGCATTCAGATGATAATCTTTAAAGACTGCATGTTCCACATCATACATAATGGAAAACATATAACTAAAATTCCAATAAACAGACGAACATCAACAAAGTAATACGAAAATTATGTGCAGCCTCTGACAAGAAACCACACAAGACAAATAGGTAATTGATGGAAACGATAACCATTTATGGGACAGGGCATCACCTTGTAAAATGTCTCCACAGAAAAATTTGGGTTTGCTCCTAAAGTTACTGTGAAGTAAGAAAAATGAACAGAAAAATTCTGCAGCAAGTAAGCCAAATCAACAGTCCAAATGCTGCAAACAACATGTCATCAAAATAAGATTATCAGAAAAGATTCACATTCACATTAATATGAAGCAATAGATTCACATGAATGACATAATCTCTTATACCAAGATGCAGCCTTTCATAATATAAATAGAACAACATCCATATCATGATCAACAACCATTCCTAGTCACAAAATAGTTATGGATGGAAATTCAAAGAAATCAAGGAGACTGGTCTTTGCATGTTATTTATACACCAAAAATTTTCAAGTGTTGGCAAACAGAAAATGATGAATCTTTGAGCTTCAACTTCATTGTTGGCATGCTAAATTTGCATTGACTCTAATGATTGAGATTTCCTAGCTTCCAAAAAAAAACTGTGTTGATCTATGTAACATAGACATGGACAGCAACATGGATACACCACCGTATGCAAACACATGGTAAATCCTAAAAAATGAACATGGCGACTGCAAACACAATGCATAATATCATTATATATTTATGTTGTTATGCATATTATTCATATTTAATAAGCGGAATAGATTCTATATTAACAGAACAACAGAACTTCCATTCAATGTTCCTATTTAGAGCAATTTAACTGAAACTGTATAACAAGCAATATCGGAAAAAGATAAAATCCTAGATTTCTGAAAAAGAAGGCACCTAGTTGTGTTGCAGAGTTCCCCCAGTTCCTGAATATCGCAGTTACCAATGCCAAGGGTTCTCAAAACCATCAAAACGCAAGCAAGACCACAATCCCATGTGCATTGCTGGTTTATGAGTGGTACCTGTAAGCAAAAACATGCCCTGATCAATTTAAAGAAAAAAAGAAAAAAAAAAGGAAAAGAAAAGAAGTAATCAAACTAAGAATTCCTTCTACCAGCATATATATGTTTTACCTACATGCATTTGATTTTGTAGATCATTCCACAATGGTCTTTTGCAAACTTAAAACACGCAGTGCCACATATCAAATAAAAAGGATTGATTGGAATCACATGGACTTACTTCAATGAAGTGTGAGTGAGGCAGGACTGCATCATTGTATTTATCATTAATCAATGACCGTTCAAATGAATAGGCTTCAACTGCAGTCGAGTGATCCCCATCTGGTCCTCGACCATTTTCTTCTTCCGTTTTCAAAAATTTATTAAGAATAATATACAAAGGCCACATCAGCAACCAAACTAACCAATGTATTTTTCTAGGGCACTAAAATTCAGACACAAAGCTCTTCTCTGAGCAATAACATGTGCAGCAGGCCTTGTCTTCTTCTTGTCGAAAATTATTTATGGAGTGCCATTTGTTGTACCTGGTGTGGTTCAGACATACAATGTCACAAACAATAAGAAACTGGGATGACAAAATAGTAATTTCACACTAATAAAAACAATATAACTAGACCAAACCAAATACATTAGGCAACCAACTCATTCAGTATAATAAGACAATTCAAATAAACCAGGCACTCAACCACCACAAGAAAGACAAGTGGGGAAGCCAAAGATTCTAGGTAAAGTTTGGTTGGATCATATATTATATTATGTACATCACAACATAACTTACATGGGACTTGCCGAAAAAACATAACTTTCACAGACTCACATTTTAACCTACCCCTCAATCGAAATTAGACTTTCATGTACAGATTGAATTTGTGTGACTAGATTCATACTATTGGTGATCAATGCAGTGATGCTTACTAGAGCATCTCCGATCCTTCACCAATTCTTTCATTAAATCCAAATTTAATGAATAAAGAGCTAAAAGTGAGCTCCAATCATTTCATCAAACTTGTACCAAATCAAGAAAGAGGCAAAATTTTCACCAAAACAAAAATTATTCGAATTAAAAATGGTTAAAACAGGCTTTTATAGTATAAGTTTAGAATTTTTCAAAAATATTTGATGATAAAAAAAAAAAGAAAAAAAGAAAAGAAGAGAGTAAGAATTGGAGTGTTCCATTCCATACCCCCATATGAAGCTTCTAACCAAATTTCCACTCAAATTTTGATCAAAAAGAAAGAGTAAGAATTGGATATCCTCTTACCATAACACAAAAATAACTGAATTAAATAAAATTAAAGCAGTACATATTCAAAAATAAATTAACAAAAAGAAGAATTAAAGCATGATCCAACATTTTTTCAATAGAGTATGCGATCGAGTTCGAATGACCAAATTGATTAACCAGATCAACAATTAAAATAGTAATAAACTATAAAATTCGTCAGAATCTGAACCTTTACAGATGTAGAGAAAACCAAATCTATATAAATACATGATTGTACGACATTACATGGCATTAAATTGATGAGAAATAGGCGAAAAGGTAAAACCTTTGGGTTCGACGGCAGAGAAAAACAGGGGTTTGTCGGAGAAGCCAAGTCGCTCGCTCGGTCTTTTTGGGCCTTCCTTTTTTTCCTTTTTTTCGGCTGTACAAAAGAGGAAAAGCTTTTATATATATATATATATATATATACTACACGGATAATTATAGATATTTTTATTTGTACGGGATAATTATAGATATTTATATTTTTTTTAGATTTTTTTAATATATAAATTATATTTTTTAAGATTTTTTTCTTATCACTAATCATAATATATGAGACAAGTTGAAAAGGGTATTGCAGTAACTATACACGAATTGTATTTATAATTATTTGTATAAGGGGATTTTAAATGTTGATCAAGAGATTTTAACCAAATCAATAATTGCAGCCATGTGGAAAGATATGTGGATTGAAAAAAATTAATAAATACTGATCAGGAGATTTTGACCAAATCAATAAATGCTGAGTTTTTAAAAAAAAAATAAAAAATTTAAAAAATTTAGATTAGGATATTGAAACTCCCATGGTCTTGGGGGTTAAAAACTCAATTTTGCTTAATATATAGTATAGATATAGATAGATAGATAGATAGATAGATAAATATATCTTTTTATTTTTATTTTTATTTTTGTGTGGTTTCTATTTGGGTATTTTTTTTTCAATTTATTTAAGATGGAGTTGTGGGTATCTTTTTTTTAAAATTTAATTTATCTGTGATTTTCATTTGTTTTTAATTATTATTATTTAGGTAAGTTATGATGTGAGTTAGATAT